GTTTTACGTTTACGTTAATTCCATATGTTTGTCATTATAAAAGAAGATACTCTTTCAAGAGCCTTATCATTTACCTACCAACCAAGATAAATTTACTAGTGGGTGCAGAACACTATAGTTCCTTTACGTAAGTGATGAAAGCAAAATAAAGTAAACTGTGACATATTATACCAAAAAAATCTTCATACAGTGGACTACCAGTAAAATTGCTTAAAAAAAATTGGAACCAAAAATTATTCAGACACTTGCTTAAGTGTCATCTGACATTATCAAGATTAATTTGTTCTGACAAAGTTTAACTGGTTCTTTTTGCACCATTTTCTAAACTATAGCGAATAAACTGATATTGTGTGAAATGTAAAAGGTGTCTGCATAAATTATGGTTTGACTGTATATATATATATATATATATGAGGTGTGCTTCTCTTAGCCAGTCTGTGGGGTCCAGATGAGTTTTATATATCCGATGAGGAGAAGAGCTGGTCTGACAGCAGACAGTACTGCAGGGATCGTGGTGGTGATCTGGTCATTATCAACACTGAAGAGAAGCAGGTGAGTTTGTGTGAGTGTCTGTTAATGTATGAGAGCAATCACACTTATTCCTGTTTTATACACACACAGAGGTTCATATCTTCATTCATCAAGCAGAGTGTGTGGATTGGTTTGTCTGACACAGAGAATGAGGGTGTTTTGAAATGGGTGGATAATTCACCACTGAAACTGAAAGGGTAAGAGCTAAAATACTATCTATCTATCTATCTATCTATCTATCTATCTATCTATCTATCAGTAGTGTAATGGTATATGTATTGGTGCAGAATTTGTGCAAACTCGGTTTCCCCCCTTGGATGGGATATTGTTTCCCTTTTGATAAGGTTCACTCACATTGCGTGATATCATGCTAGGGGAAACCTCCATTTTCTCTGAATACTAAAGTCTGATTTGTTAACATTTACGTAGCTGCAAGAACAAAAGGCATTTTGCTCGCCAAAATGGTTGGGGCTGACAGCCTCTGTAAGTCGGCGCTGAATGCCATTTCATCCGAATCTTTCTCCTTCAGCGCTAAGATAATCTCCTCGCTGACTCCAAAGAAGAAGTCTTCGTGCTCGCCATAGAAGAGCCCCAGAAGAGGAATGCTGTGCTGACATCTCACAGCTGAGAATGCCATCTCTCCCCTGTGACTATCCGGTGAAACTATTAGAGCTTATTTTGCTAAAAGAGCCTATTTTCAGCGGCGTTTGCTGCAAAATGCAGTACAACGGATGTGGCTCATGCAGGGCACTCCTGCATTTCTTTGGATGAGCATGCTGTCTGTTTGGGTAAGCTCACGCAGAGGCTGCGCTCACTGAGATGAGCTGTTCTCATTGCGAGAGCGTACGTCTCTCACCGATTGTTTTCTTTGTAGATACTGACCATGTCCCTTGTGCGGCCCTGTTTTTTTCCCTCTCTTCCTGTGTCATTGATTACTTCCCATGAATGGCCCAGTACGTGCCTCTATGCCTTCCCTCAGGTCATCAGACGTCCAATGCTCAGCCCTTCTGGTGGCCCTAGTCTGACGGAACCAATCGAGGTTCCCCGAGTTAGTACAGCTACTGTCGGCAGTCTGTTGAGGAAGGACTTTCTCTCCGAGGTGAGAGGAATGATTTTGCACCCCCAACCCGAGTTGTGGAGCCTTCATCTGTGATCCCTCGACAGGAGCCTTTGCACCTTCCCATAAGTTTCTCCCATACTATCTCAGAGGCCAAACCCCATCTACAAGATGCCTCTATGCCCTCAAGTTGTCTGGTTTCTCTTACTGGTGTGCAGTCTGGGATGAAGACCTGTTGTCTTGCGACGTGTCGTACATCTTGTCCTTGTCCTTCTTGCAAAAGCTGCTGAATAAGGGGTGCACTCCTGCCATGCTCAGAGTATACAGTACGTGGCATCCAACATGGTGTATCACGCTCTAGTGACCAGCCAATCTGTAGGAAAGAATGACTTATTTGTGAAATTCACAACTTATTTGTGAAACTCTCACAAACAATCATCCCGTTCCGACCTGGGATCTATGCATGATCCACAAGGCCCTTTGAGGCTCCACGTTTGAGCTGCTTCAGTTGGCCGACTTGCAGCCCCTGTCACTTAAGACCGCCCTCGTGCTAGCTTTAGCATCGGTCAAGTTTTGGGATGAACGACTGCAAACTTGTCCTCAAATTGTTCTTGGCTCTTCTTGCTTCAGAGGATGAGTATGGTACAAATTTACTCTGCCAGGTCTGGGCTCTTAATATATATATATATATATACAGTACATACATATCAAAGCACACAAAGAGCTGCTGCGTTTCGGCAGTCAGAGCAGCTTCGGCAGTCAATGCAGCTCTTTGTGTGCTTTGGAGGCCGCTCTAAAAGGCTGCTAATTACAAAGCAGAAATTATCCTGCTGGATAATAGAAGCCATAGCACTGGTTTAAGCCTCAGTGGGCGTATAGTACACCACTGGAGTGATGGCACACTCCACGAGGGGAATGGCCTCCTCCTGGGCTTGGTCTAGTGGAGTCCATTGGAGATATCTGTGCGGCAACCAGCTGGTCTTCACATCGGCCGGCCTGGACGTCCCTGCTCTTCAGGCACAGATATTGTCCATCTAACCAACCTGTACCCCTGCCGATGGTCAGGACTATTTTTGTCTGAGGCCTCCGGCTTTATGGCCTGGACCTCACTTATTTCAGGTTAATTGTGCCCTTTATTGGCCCATGTTATCCTCGGGCCCTCACCTTGGGTGCCCTAGGGCTGGGCTCGCAAGACCGCTTTTCGTTCTGCACTTATAGCATGGTGATATTGGATATTGTTCCCATAGCATTAGAGCACGCAATGTGAGTGAAGTGTATCGAAAGGGAACGCTCTGGTTACTAGCGTAAACTTTGTTCCCTGAGATAATGGGAACGAGCATTGTATACCCGGCCATGCTACAAAGCTGCACATAACCTGATGTTGTCACTTATCAGTCAAAAGATTCTGAACTAAATCATTAATCTATGCTGCTTGACCTACTGTCAGATGCATGTGTTGTTTAATGCATTTGAGACTTGTTTTCCTCAGTGCACAACTTAAATCTTACACTTATATACTTAACTGTAAATGATATAAATAAAATATGCATACTATTTGCTCAGTCAGATTATATGTAAGTGCAAACTTCTTTCTGCTTCCTCTCTTGCTGCTTATTGCTTTCTTAATTAAATGTTCCTCATTTGTTAGTCATTTTGCATTTGTTCAAAATAATCATTATTTCTTGGTTACGTAAGGAGTAAAAACGTTGGAATACTTAAAGATTTGGGGTCCTGAATAACTGAAAATCTGCCACATTTTATTCAGGTTTTTTTTCCCATATGAGCCGAATGATGCAGGTGGAAATGAGGACTGTATTGAAATGCAATTTTGCCCATATTGTTCCAGCCTGAACACCTGGAATGATCTCGCATGCTCAGATTTGAAAAAAGCAATTTGTGAGAAATAGGGTCATCCTGTCTTATGCTTTTACGTTTATTTTATGGAATAATTGTATTGTAATTTCTGATTTAGCATTCTAATTTGAACCCAGTCAGCTACTTTAATTTTATGTAGACTGCTTTCATGATATCAATTCTGTTATATAATTTTCTGTAATGGATATTCAAGTGGATATTTAAATGAAAGGAAAATGTGAGCTTGTCATTTTTATTCTGAAATATGTCCTCATGTTTATTGCATTATATTTTTCTGTCAAACTGTTTTTGAGTTTATTTTCTAAATGTATTTGCTATAATTAGTTTTTCTTCTTTTGGCAAATTTTTGGTGTACAGTTTTACTGTTGGTGTTTAGTGAGGATGGATTTTTTTATTTATGTATGTATTTTTTTATTTATATATTTTTTTATGTTATCTTATATACGTATACTACAAATGACATCTGCTAGAAAAAGTTCCCCCATTTAGGAACATTTTCAGCTCAGATTTGTTTGATACTTCCGGGCTTTATGGCTGTTGTAAATTTTAGGTTCCAGCAGATAGCACTATTGTTTAGGAGGCTTTGAATAAAAATAGGTCATTTCAGAATGAGGGTTGAAATATCCAGTTGACATTCGTTTCTGTTAAGTGAGATACGATCTGGCGCTGGAATCTGTTGTTTTTGAAATCTTGCTGAATGTTGAAAATCATGCTGAAATCACTCCTGTCCCACCCACTTTTTTAAACAAAGTTACACCAGTGTGTGTGTGTGTGTGTGTGTGTGTGTGTGTGTGTGTTTTTGTGTGTGTGTGTGTGTGTGTGTGTGTATTAAACGTTAAAAGTGAACCTCAAAGAACATATTAAAATAATAAAAAAATCAATGTCACGACCCCTTTAATTAAGCATTGTTTAATGGCTGTAAACATGAAGGCATGGTAGCGTACTGTTTAATAGCTGTATAAAGGAAGACATCATCCCACAGTCTCTGTTTATTTCTGTTTTCCTATCTGTCACTGAGTGCGACATTGATGCAAAAACATTGATGTTGTCATGAAAATACACAGGTCCAGTTTTTAGCCTGTTTTAATGTTCTATTCTTTCTTCATTTGACTGATCACAGAATCCTCCTTTTGGCTTTTCTGGCTGCCAACATGAGGGAGAAAAATCTGCATTGTCTACATGAATGTGCAATATACATTAAACCATAGTGTGAGTCTACAGAGAGTTTAAACATGGGGGAAAATCTAGATGTTCCTGTGTCTGATAATGAAACCACTTCCTGTGAAAGTTTAGCACTTTTTAAAAAAAACAAGGTACACTTTCTGAGAGACCACAGCTCATCTGTGGACACATACTGCAAGACATAAGAAAAATAATGGAATCTGAGAACATTTATGCACACAGAAATGTTAATAACAGATCTGGACCTCGAACACAGAGTCGCCACCAAACTGATGGAAACGCTCGAAAATACAGTAAGCAGAAAGATATTTTGAAGCAGAGATAGTGGTGCTAATGTTTGAGAAACTGAAAATTGTTGGACAAAATAACTGTTTTCAAGGAACAATGTGTCTGTTTCTGCTTTTATATTAAAAGTATTAACAGAATATTTTTTTCTTGGTTGCACATTTTACTGTATAGCATTTCTAGAAGCTTTGTCATAATAGAGCAAACTTTTAAAGTGCACTGTCAGTTACTTAGAAACGTCAATTTGAAATGTTAACAATCATAATAATAAGTATCTAATAATAGAGAGTGAATTTTCATTAATTAATGTTTGTGTGTTTTGTTCCTGTTTGTCAGGAGGAAGTAGATGTTTGGTGTTGATCACAGTGTGTTTCCAGATTATTTGTGTTCTTCTGCTGATCAACAACATACTGCTGCACATCACCATCAGAACAGAGAGAGACCTGATAAAGAGTTACAAGAACACGGTTGAAGAGTTCAATCAAACCATCAACAGCTTACAGGACAACTACACTGATCTAATGACTGAAAAACTCCAACAGCAGGACAGCTTCAGCTCTTTGAGTCAGAAGAAACTGGAGACCAGAGTCAAAGATCTCACTGCTGAGAAAGACCAGTTACAGAGAAATTGTAGTTTACTCTCGAAACGTGCAATTATTCTGAGTATTGTTGATTCATAAATTTGTGTTTCTGAAAAATTGAACCTCTGATACATGTTGTTCAGGTTTTGGTTCGAAGGTGAGCCAAGCAACTACGGTGGAAATGAGGACTGTATTGAACTGAATTATAATAGAAAGAAGACGGGATGGTCACCGCTGAACAGCTGGAATGATGTGCCATGCTCCGTGAAGAAAAAGGGGATTTGTGAGAAATAGGGTTCATCCCGTCTTGTGGTTTGCTTTTATTATCTAATATAATTATTCTTATTGTCAACACATTAGTTCTGATTGAGGTTCCTGCCTTTTAAAACACTGTTAGCTGATCTGAAATTTGTTAGAAGGACAATGTAAAAGTGTCATTATTTTCTTATTGCTATAATAACCTTTGTTTCTCATGATGTGGATTCAGGACACAAAACCTCTGATGTGTTCATGTTTTGCTCCAACACAAGCAGCTCTGTATTAATATGATCTTATTTTAGCTGTTATCTTGAGTCTCATTTGTTGGTCTGAAGTGTTGAGGAGACGATCACAGTAAACTACAGAAGTCTGAAGTGTCCAGATTGTTATTCTGATGTTGAGTGTCTGTGAAACTGCTTTTGAGTTGAATTGCTTTCTGATTTAATAAAATGTTCAATTACTATCATTATCAGAGTAAACTTGACATTTTTGTTTTCATTTGACACTTCATTATTGTGTACCTGCTTTATTGCTCTGTCTCCTCCAGTCCAGCAGGACGCAACAGAGAGCAGGTTTTTCAGACTGAACTGATCAGAGAGGAAGACGAACGTCAGAGCCAACATTTTTTTCTACCAATTTATGGATATTTTTTATCTTTCAGTCTTAAAAAAAAAAATAAAACACACACATTTGACACCAAAGTAATTTCATAATTGAACATTAATGAATAAAAACTACACATTATTTTGGCTTAAAGGGATAGCTCACCCAAAAAAGACAATTAGCTCATTATTTACTCACCCTCAAGCCATCTTATTTGTACATGACTTTCTTCTTTCAGACGAATCCAATCAGAGTTATAATAAAATATATCCTGGCTCTTCCAAGCTTTATAATGGCAGTGAATGGGTGTTTTTTGTCAATAGTCCAAAAGAAGTCCCATAAAGCGCATCCATCCATCATAAAAAGTGATCCACACGGCTCCGGGGGGTTAATAAAGGCCTCCTGTAGCGAATCGATGTGTTTTTGTAAGAAAAATATCAATATTTAAAACTTTATAAATGGTAATCTCTAGCTTCAGCTAACTGTCGTATGTGCATTCATTTTGGCGGATGACGTACGACGTAGCGTAAGGTCTGGTGAGAAGTGATGAATGCGGAAACGCAGCAGAGAGAGCAAAACAAAACACTGGTCATGAATTAGAAGTACAAAAATGAAGATTCGTAAAGAAAAATGTCAGAGGATTTCGATATAAGCCAAGAGGCGGCTGGTTTTCCTTTGCTAAAGTAAGGAAACTTTGCTCCTGTAAACAAACGTCAGTTCTCATGAGACTAGCATATTCTCACCGGACCTTACGAGTTTCTAGGACATAATGGGATCTGCTGAAATTCTGAAATGTATTTATACCTTCTTAGTGAAAAATGGCAGAACAGTGACACCTTCTGAGAAAATGAATATACCCTGTTGTC